TTATTATTATTATTATTATTATTATTATTATTTTATTATTACTATTATAAAAATTTTGTTTTCCCAAAGGGGGGAGGGGGGAGGGAGGCAGATGTTCTCAGGCATTCAGTATTCAAATTTTACTTCACGTATAAAGTCGTAATTACGAAATAATCGTAAATATGATTATTTATTGAAAAACACGATATTTCTAATCGTATATTTTCGTAATTATAACTTCTAGATTTTTAAGGTGCTGACCAACATAGTATTAACACAATATCATACCCAAGCCTTCTAGTCTAGCTGTTGCCTGGATCGCAGTGTTGCTACATGTCTGTCGTTTGCGTTGCTTGTTGCAGAACAACTCGACAATGCGACCATCTCCGCCCACACACCCCTCATCACAGCCATCCCCCCAGCACCCCCAGCCACCCCCGCCTCCACACTCGCAGATGATGTCCACTCAGGTAAGCCTCATTCGACACACACATACACTGTCACTCATGGAGAATCACTCAGTCCACTCTCATTACACCATGTCATCGTGTACCTATGACTGTTTGCTCGAAATCGCTTCTTCTCCTACCAAAGTTATTTCTACTTGTACAATCTTCAACCCATCGTTCTTCAACTACAATATTATATAGAACATACAAACAGGATTCATTAAAATGGTCAAAGATTACGATACTGTTCCAAGTACAGATCTTTTTTTTTTTTTTCTACACTTCAATACATTGACGATTGATACATGATCTCACAATTATTATACTTAAGAGAGAAACAGAATAGTTTTATTGAATGTGTGTAACTGCAGAGAAAGGTCTAAGGTAAGGAAAGAGGTTTTGTTTTTTTTTAGTGTTGTATAGTGTAAAAACAAAAAAAAGTGTTACGTTATTGTTTCTGTTTATAATGGACTTATTTTTAAGGTAAGAATTGTGTTAAATGCACATCACACTTCAATTTACTTTAATCTGTTCTTTGTTGATAAACTCCTATTGTTTGCAATCCTATTTGCACATTAATATAACACATCAAGTGCATTATGATGATTTCCATCAGAGTGCATAAGTTATATGGCCTAATTATGTGACCAATTGCTTATTGCGGCTGCCTGGTGTGTCGGTTTTGTGATATACGATAGTTATAAAGAAAAAAAAAAGGAATTAAGAAAAAAAGAAGACTCTGAAAATTATTACTTACTTAATGTGTAAATTTTTGACTTGTTACAGTTTATGGGTCCTCGGTATCCCGCTGGACCAAGACCCGGAGTACGTATGCCACAAATGGGAAATGATTTTAATGGGGTATGTATTGGTATTTTATTGATAGATCAAACTATTAAATGTACAAATAAACGACATTGAAATACTTACTGATCTATTGATATTTTTGTTCAGCCACCTGGACAACCAATGATGCCAAATAGTATGGACCCAACTAGGCAAGGTAAGGGCTCAATTATATGCTAGATTCACGTTGATTTTTTTTTTTCTGGCATTGACAATAATTGCGAGAGGAGAATGGCATAGACGCATGCATACCAAAAACCACACAGCAATAAATAAATCAGTAATTATTAAAAGTGGATTGGATTGCTGTGATGTGGAGTGGATTGGTTTTTGAATTGTCTAGTTACGTGCAGTGGTGTAGTTTTTCAAGTTAAACCATTATAGTTAGCATTATATATTTATATAAGTCTGTGTAAAATGCTTTTGCATTCTTCTTTTGCATTCAAAATGAAGGTATAAATTTGATGTTTTAACGACGATTAGATTATCTTAACAATAATGTGACGTTTTACATATAATTCCCCATAGTTATTGTGTTTATTTAAAAAATTTTTAGTTCCAAGATATCGTACAATGTCCTTTGTGATTCCTTTTTTCTGCATTTTTCTCTGAATATATAATTCAGAATAAAATATTGAATGGAAACATTTTTCTAAATGATTTCATACTTTTATTGCATCATAATACAAGTAAGCATACTAGTAAAATCCAACATAACTATTATTTAATTCTAAAAATTTAAAAATAACTTCTGTTGAATTAGTGTTTCAGTATATAATCCAGTTTATCGGTATATTCTGTAACGATGCATTTTCATAAGAGCATTGAAGTAATATTTACAATTTTATTCACTATGCGACTGCAAAGTAACTAGACCTTACCGCCATCAACCTGACCTTACCTACCTGCCGTACTAATGTGTGCTCTTGTGTTCCTCAGGCGAAGCTGGAGAATTTGTAGGGTGGCAAGGTAGGAAGCAACCCAGCAACCAAATCACACTCACATGACTTAGTCAAGCCTAACTTTTATTTTTTCTCCTGCTCGTTTTGAAGTTTCTGTTCTCACTTTTTACGAATAAATAAACGCACTAGCTTCATTTCTTTTGTGCGACACTTGCTCACCCGATCTTGCATTAAACATATCAATGGTAATTTATTATATATATTAAAAACAGTGTTCAATTTCGCTGTGTGAGAACAGTTTTCTGTATGTACAAAAGATCCTCATACTTAGAAAGATTCTACATTTTTATACGTGAAATATTAACAGAGATATAGTTGCAAATCTTAACATATAGTTTATCCGTTTCCATTGCATTATATGCAATGATTTTGTGGCTAACAAACTTTGTCTGTTTATTGTCATTGTCAATCATTGTAGCATAAACTTAACATATAATATTAATGCACTGTAGTTATTTTCTCCCATTCAAAGCATTTAAAAAAGAAAGTTTCATGCGACTTTAAAAAAGAAAAATATGAGAATAATTCATTCATTATGTTAAAAATAACGTGAAATTATTGCTGTATGATATCACAATCCTTTTATTAGGCATCAATTGAATGATTGTCTTGTTTGTCATGTATCTGGCATATATAGCATTGTTTTATCTTTTCATTGTTAAATTAAGAGCTCAAACGTTTGTAAAAATTATTTAGTAGTGCTGTTTTTTATCCTTCGCATGAGCTTTGTTATTTTATTAATTTGTGTAGATGCAAATTACCAATTTAGCATGCCGTCCACTCGCTTAACTATTATACACTTGACTTCGGCAAAGCATGATTCGAATTTTTTAATTCTGTAATTTAAAAAAAAAAAAATAAATTTGAAAGAATAAAACTGTAAATTGAAAAGTTTTTTTTTCACATTATCGAAATATTTCACAGTTACATGATTTGCCGTTGATCCAGAGATTCACGATTAGCGTTTAGAGTATTAACATAAAACAATATTAATACCTGTGTCTCTAGAAAAATGCATCAAAAATTGTTTTTATTACTAGCTCCTCCAGGCATGAATCCCATGAACCCAAGGATGAATCCTCCACGAGGACCAGGAATGGGCCCGATGGGACCGGGAAGTTACGGGCCTGGAATGAGAGGACCACCTCCTAACAGTAGTTTGGGTCCAGGAGGTCCAGGAGGTCCTGGCATGCCTCCAATGAGTATGGCTGGACCAAGTGGTAGACAACAGTGGCAACCTAATACATCAACGGTACGATCATGATCCATTCACGTTGAAAGAATTTATTTCCATTTCAATTATAAAATGTGCAGTAACATTTTTGTCTACACTTTTACGTCTGTGTGTGCGTGTGTGTGCGTGTGTGTGTGTGTGTGTTGCCGATGATATAATTAGTTAAATATTTAAATTATAATGCGAAAATGGATTTTTTTTTTAGCCGATGAATTATTCATCATCGTCACCGGGTAATTACGGGGGACCACCTGGTTCAACAGGTCCTCCAGGCCCAGGTACACCAATTATGCCCAGCCCGCAAGATAGTAGTAATAGTGGTGGCGAAAACATGTATACCATGATGAAACCTGTACCTGGAGGAAATATGCCTGGTGTAAGTAATCATAAATTTGCTACCTTTAATAATGAGAATAACGTTCTGACTTAGTGATGTCAAATCAGACTCATTATAGAATAATATTTAGATTTAGACAAATAATAGCTTTTGTAAAATAATAGCTTTAGATTTGTAACAGAGATGTGATAACAATAATTTGTTCGAATATATCAGGACTTTCCAATGAGCGGTGGGCCAGAAGGTGGTCCGATGGGTCCTATGGGACCAAATACGATGGGTCCTGTGCTGAATGGTGATGGCCTCGATGGAATGAAAAACAGTCCAGCTAATGGCGGTCCGGGAACACCACGGGAAGATAGTGGAAGTGGAATGGGAGATTATAATTTGGGTGGTTTTGGAGGACCAGGAGAAAATGTAAGTATTAGTAAGTTTTTCGTAACAACTCCCTATGACAGTCACTCGACGTGTTAATATGGACTTATATGCTATCGTCTCTGTGTAAATGATTGAACTTATATTAGCAGAATATACTTTCGAAAAGATATTGATTAAAAAAGAAATTTGCGTTAATTTTCACTCTTGTTATTTTTGATTGGAGATATAAGTCCATGTTATAACTGGATTTTTCTTCTAATTATTCAGCAATTAACAGATTCAGGTGCTTTCATCAATGCGTCAGTTAATTATTCTATCAAAGTAATTTGGATCTTATTACATTTAGAGAGCTTATCCTCAAGCTTACTCCAACCACCTAGTTAATGCTTAATCTAAAAAGTCAATATTTGACAAATATTCGAAGTGTCCTTGTTTAATCATTTAGGCTTCTTGGGAAATTTAATTTACACTACCCATTTGCATCTAATGTTATAACTGTTTGGCTCAGATTGTGTCTAACTATAATCATACTAACAGTATGACTAATGATGCAAACTTAAAGTGGGTATAAAAATCGTGAAGCATTTAAGAAACTTTTTTTATTTACTGAACATTGACATTTTCAATTTGATGAAACAAGATACTTTTATCTAAAAAGATCAAACAGAATAAAATGAATTTTATAAGTTACAGATTATTTTATTAAAGACTTGTTATAATGTTAGTGGAAGATCATTCTCTGGTATCTGTTGCAATAGAATGCGTCAAAACATTTTGTACCCACTTTACATCTACAAAAGAGTATGAATCAACTTTCATACGATAATATATACAATATTTTCCATAAGGTGTATCGTATGTCATAGTAAAGAAATTTTTTATAATTTTCAATATTTCTTCGGTTGAATTCAGTAGTAAAAACGGAATCAATTTTCACCATTTATTACATAATTTGTCAATATGTCTGTCTGCGTGTAAACCTTTCTTTGCACAAAATTTTCAGTCATATTTAAGAAAATATAAAACTTGAGTTCATAAGAAGTCATCACAACGAATATTAAAAGATAATTTTTCCATAAGACATTCGTATATATTCCAATTTTGTAATTCTGTGGTAGTTCTTTGTTTTTAGTAATCATTTCGAAGGAGGGTTATATTCTCGTTCACGTCATCTTTTATAAATAATATTTGTCAAATACGATACGCCTTGCGGGATATCATATGTATAATACAAAATAATCGATTTCTTTAACGACCGCGCACAGACGGTATATATATATTTTTTTTTTCTCCTTTTTTTTTAATCTTGCGTTATTATATCGCGATTGCGAAGTAGGATTCTGAATTGAAAGGATAATCAGTAATCTTGCACGTGCGCCTTCTGTATTCCCGACAGTTTTTTTAAAAAATCAAGTCGCCTTGGATCCAGCCCCGAGTTCGTAGATGCCGTAGATTTGCCGGTTAATCATGCAATGTGGAAAAGGATCATACGCAAAACCCTGAGTTTTATATATATATATATCTCTCTCTCATTGTACAATCGTCACGTGGTAACGCGGTTTATAACGGTTTCGTCAATGGGTCAAGCCACAATTATTCGC